GTGGATTGTTTGGACCAATGGCAAAGCATCATTGGTCCAAGCTATCCAATAAAAAAAAAGATTAAAAAAACACTGATTACATTGATCTCAATGTTTCACCAGTGACTAGCAAGTGAGGGACAGGGAGGCTTCTCCCTGTCTCCTCCCTTCCTCCTCCCTCCTTCCCTCCTCCAAACATAGCTTGGTGACCGGGTTGGGGGGAGGGTTGTCGGCGGGCTGGGAGCGGTGCATCGGTGGGCTGGGGAAGGTACTGCACATTACTGCCCTATTTTATGAACTTTTTAAACTGCCAGAGAAACCTAAAACCTGGACAGCCACTCTTGATTCACATACCCCTGCCATGCTGCACAATCAGGCAGTTGACATGACTATTTTCTAATTCAGTTTTGTGAGTCACCTTCCTGTACATTAAAAAAGATACTGTGAGAAATGTAAATGTAAAAAAAAAAAGATTCTCCGGTAAAGAATAACTCTCTTCAGGCAACACGTTTGGGAATGTTGGATTTCTGATCCCCCACCTAAAGATGTGGTTCAGTATGCCAGGTGCTGGTGGACAAGATCAGATCAGCCTTCAGCGGCATGGCCACCAAGAAAGGTAAGCAATTTGTTTTATAGGTATCATGGCTTTTACTATTTATTTTTGATAGGGTTGCTTTATGCAATGAATGAGCATCATCAATCCAAAAATGTAATATACCGTATTGCAGCTTGCCGGTCCATAAATGAATTGGCTGCATTCGTTTTCTTTTCCTTTATTTTTACCTGGGGATCCGGCCAGTAACACACTTCCTTTATTAGGGTGGTTCCACTCTACAGAGGAGCCATGGAGTCACCTTTAGACAGCAGCATTATCACCCTCTGGGGAGGATAGTGTTTGATGCACTAGCAGATTTAGATGGAGATGACTAAAAAATGTAATCTGAACTCCAGCTAACAGCCATTACAGGGTTTTTTTTCCCCCTTTTGGGATAAAGATTTTACATAAATGAATAAAGGTGACCATTGTATGTCTGTGAAGGTTCCCATTCATCCAGGTCATGGTATATCTGTAAAAAATAAGTCAACGCAACTGGACTTGCTGTATGTTTCTTGAAGATGTTTCACTGGTCATCCAACCAGCTTTCTCAATTCAGAATGACTTGTACAAAAAATTATCTGGGAATAAATATGGTGAATGTTGCTCCAACCCACATAATCTGTTAGTCGCAACCAGGTGTTGATAACATTTGCATAATTGGAGTCTAGGAGGTGTTAATAACCTGCCCAGAGAGAGGTGTTAAAACAGCATTGTATGTGGCAGACAATAGATGTCCCACCTCACCCCACCTCTATTCAAGCTTGGTTTCTCTATTTTTACATAAATGGCCTCTTTCACACCTCTTTTGGACCAGTCCTCCTCCCTGCCTAGGATGCGTACTTGACTGTCTTCAAAGGAGTGACCTTTTTCCTTTAGATATAGGTATACTGCTGAATCCTGACCAGAGGGCTTGGCTCTTCTATGCTGTGCCATATGCTGGTGTAGCTGCTGTTTTGTTTCACCGATATACAATTCTGAGCACTCCTCACTGCACTGGACTGCATACACAATGTTGTTCATCTTGTGTTTTGGTGTTGGGTCTTTTGGGTGAACCAGTTGTTGCCACAGTGTATTGCTGGGTTTAAAGCAGACAGGGATGTGATGTTTTTTAAAAACCCTTCTGACCATCGTAAGCACCGCTGACAGTGTTAAGGTTTGTCTCAGCTTTCTATCTGCCACTTTTGCTGGATAGTTTGGCCTGTTAAAGGAAGTTGAACAATAATAGACTTACTGGCCGGATAACAGGTGAAAAAAAAGGTGGAAAAATGCCTAAAAAAAGAAAACTAATACAGGAACCACATCTAAGAATTGTTAAGCTGCAATATATAAAATGTTTGCTTTTGGGTTTAATTGCACTTTAAGCATGATCGGAAAGAACAATGGCAACACTTATAGGGAAATTCTTTTAGGGGAAAAAAAAAAGTTTACTTTTTCATAAAAGACAAATGTGCATTTATTATTTTTTTGCATTATAGCCAGTAAATCATTGCAACTGTGATCAGTGGATCACCGCTACAATGTTTTGGCTTCTGCAGACCCTTCCTCTTGGTTGTGATTTGACTATGGAGTCTATTCACTAAGCTGCCGAAGGATCTAGCCATAGCTTCGGCTTGCTTCGGCCCCAGAACCCCTTCGGTTCAACAGAACCAAAGGGCTGCTGTACGGGCTATTCAGGATAGCCCACACAGTTCCCGAAGTCGGCCGATCGGTTCAGTCGAGCCGAAGGCATATGCCGCGGCTGGCCGACAGCCTGCTTCTGACAGCTGGGCGGAGCCAGCCGTCATCTCATGGCTGGCTCCGGCCACTTGCAGAGAGATCAGCGTCCCTGGTTACCAGCTAACCAGGGACGCTGTCATTTCACACTGAGAGTGCCCTCTCCGTGTTCTCAGTGTGTAATGACAAATGGCATTCCTGGTTACCTGGTAACCAGAAACACCATCTGTCATTCCTCCCCCGGACGCTCTGGGAGTCTAATAGGCTCCCGGCCGCCCGGGAGAGAAACACTATCTCCCAGAAAGGTTTACTCTGCTCGGTCGAGCAGAGTAAACCTTTCCCTGCTCGGTTTTATTTTTTTAATTTGTTTTATTCTGACATCGGAGTCATTGGCTGCCGTCAGAGGAAAAAAAAAAGAAATCACCATTGGAATGCATAGCTAGATTCCTATTGGCTATTTCAATTTGCAATAGCCAATAGCAAACTAGCTGTTGCACCCGCCCACTGCTGCTGTCAATCAGCAGAGGGGGATCTACAGTTCTCCATCAGGTCCCCCTCTGGTGATTGACAGCAGCAGAGGGCGGGTGCAATAGCTAGTTTGCTATTGGCTATTGCAAAGTGAAATAGCCAATAGGAATCTAGCTTTGCATTCCTATGGTGTGTTCGGTTTTTTTTTGACAGCAGCAGAACCGCCCGGCCAATAGAAAACAGTTGGGCGGAGCTAGCTGTCACTGCTAGCTCAGCACAATCGTTTTCTAATCTTTTTTTTCCTACTTCTTAAACTATTTTTCTTTTCTGCTCGGTTCCACAGAGGGACCGGGCAGAACAGCCAAGCCGAATGCTGCTCAGCCGATATATGGCTGGAATCAGCCGTACCAGCCTACAGTGAATAGCCGAACAGCGTTCGGCCCACTTAGCTTGGGGTGGACTAGTCACTCGGCTGCCTACGGCAGCTTAGTGAATAGACCCCTATGTTTCATGTTACACCCTAAATATGGGTATAACATGAAACATGGTCAGAAAATAAAACTTAAAGAGTAATGCCACTTCTGTTGAGAAAAAAATCAATCCTCTCTGGCTGATCTGTGTCCTTTCAAACTGATTCCTGAATGGGAGGGTCAGGGTTCGTTCCAAACAGCTGGTGGACTTCCCATGCTGTAATGAGGAAAGGTGCAGTGTCAGCATCCCTTTAGTAGTAATTAACCCTTAAGCCTGGTTCACACCTTTACGTTTTGTCGCGCGTTCAATGCTCTATGAACGCTGTACAAAACGTACACACTTGAAAATCTCATTGTTTTCTATGGGTATGGTTCACACCTTTCCGTATTTCAGCCCGTCTGAACGCGCTACAAAACGGCCTACGCCCAAAGAAGTACATGTACCTCTTTGGGGCGTTTTGGTCTCGCATTTCCATTGGGATACAGCCAAGTAGCCCACGGAAACGGGCGTTTGTCGCACGTTTTTTTTACCGCGAAAACGCGGGACACGAACCGCGCGACAAACGCGCATATTCAATACGCCTAGGTGTGAACCCAGCGTTAGCCCTCGTTCACACCTGAACGTTTTGTAGCGCGTTCTACGCTCGACGAACGCTCTACAAAACGCTCAAAAATATAAATCCCATTGTATTCAATGGTCTGGTTCCCACCTTGGCGTATTTCCACCCGTCCCTAACGCGCTACAAAACGGCCCACGCCTGAAAAGGTACAGGTACTACTTTGGGCCGTTTTGTTGCGTGTTTCCATTGGGATACAGCCAAGTAGCCTTCTGAAACGCGCGACGGTCGCGCAACTTTTTTACCGCGAATCGCCAGACGCGCATATACAATACGCCTAGGTGTGAACGAGTGTTTTCATTGATATTTTTTAAAAGTGGAGTTACCCTTTATTCTTGCAGTTTATTTTTGTTTGGTGGTTCAGACTGTGTGTTTTTTTTAATACTCAACGTTTTAGCATGCGGTCCAGTGTGCAAGGGAACCAGGGGTGTCACCTCTCCTCGGGGCCGCCGGGTATGGTGTAGGGCACAGGGGCTTCTTCGGCCTGGCAGAACTCCTGGCGACAGGGTTGCGGGGGCGCATGCGCAAGATACGCGGCACGCGCGTAGGTGGACAGACTGCGTGAGCTTGCAGGGGGCGCGCGTGTAGTGCGCCTGCGCCCTCAGCGACCAGGGAGTGGCCTTGATTCCCCTGGCTATAAAACCTGGTCAGAGCCCTTACTTGTTGCTGAGTTATTCCACCTCTATGGTGCGATCACCTAGCCCCTTTGTTGGACCCTGCTGTTGTTCCCTGACCCCTCATCTGAACTTCCTGATTATTGACCCCTTGGCCTGCCTACCGATCTTGAATCCTAACTGCCTGCCTCGACCCGGACTGGACTTGACTACCCCTTTGGATTTGCCCTCTTGTACCTCGCCCTTTGGATCTTCCTGTCCGCTTTCTGCCAGTGGGTTCCTCTTCCCGCTGTTTGCCCATGGCACCGCCTGTCACTAGTGTGTCCTTAGTGTAAGGACATTCTCAGAAAGAAGGAAGTATAGGCCATATTGTTGTCACAATGAGAAATCTGTTTTTTTGGAAAAAGCAAAGCACGTTCCTACACTCCAAGACCAAAATGCATGAACCATCAAAAATAAAGCTACCTGAGGCTTTTATTGGCATTAATAATGTATGGTGGTTTACTTTAAATATTGTCAGCACATAAATAATGAATCCTTCTTTTACTGTGTTATATGGTTCTGTTGTTTTATTAACATTCAAAAGAAAGGTATATACATATTTACAATATATAGAGATTTATACATAAAACACCCCACATTGTTACAGTTTTGTGGTTTGCACAAGCTGTTCTCGTTCTATCAGGTGAACATTTTGGCTCTGTACACATGACACCAAGCAGTGGGAGGAGCTTGATACAGAACCAGCCCCGTCTCTGGGTGGGGGCGAAGGATTTGAGTTGTATCACATATTGATAGGTCCCCTCCCTCTCAATTAAAAGGCATAACATTTATTTATGGCACACAAAATGAACACATCATTGTGTACAAACCCAACAAAGCAGAGTTGTGCTACAATGTGTTGGCTTTACAAAATTTATTGACAGCTATATACAACTCAGAACTCTTTTTTTAATTATTTTCATGAACAAGATGGAGTCACACACACTATGTCACCGCAGCTGTGTCACAGAATATGTAGTCGTTTACACGCACACAAACCCTGACGTCTTTTCCATGAAAGAAAAGTCATTTTGTCGCAACAATAAAACCGGTAACATTCTTGTGTCATGGGCTGCATCTACGGAGCTGAAATGAGACAGACATTGCGAATATGCTGAATTCCACTTCTGTGAGAGCGGATAGAAGATGCAACCTCTTAAGCATTGAACCTCAGACAATGAAGTGCAGAGGCTTAGCTAAAAGTGTAGATATCCTTGAGCTTGATTAAAAATAAAAACCTTACGCAAATGCATTAAATGGGAGAAGTTCCTTTCACGTGCTCTGTGGTTCTCCTTACTGAAAGACACGACTATCGAGGCAGTACAAATGCTAGATGGATTTATTAAGATTCTTGACAATGTGGATTGACAGGGCAAATCTCAGATGTGAAAACACAGGGCTGTGCATTGTCTACTCAGAATCATGAAGAGATATTATGTATTCTAAAGCCGAACAGCACGGTAGGTGTCATCATCTAGTAGAAATAATTATTAGTAACGGTAGAAGGATTGAGAAGTTCCATCTGTCAACTACTCATGGAAAGGTTATGATGAACACAGTCATCGCTCAAGAATATCATAAAGTACTACTGTTATCTGTGTCCAACAGAAATGACGGATGTTCTTTATGAGACAATGTGGGACGAGACCCTATGCACTAATCAGTCCAATACCATTTCCCATAACATAGAAACATTGTGTCACTTGAAAACATTGTTGTTTACACAGACACTTTCCACTACATTGTACCATCAACAGTAATTCAGCTTAAATGACTCTAACAGTGTGTAATTTGACTTTGAGTTCACACTGATTTTCTTTGTCCAAACACCTGTCCAAAGGCACCATAGTCAGAACTCCAGACATTTTTCCCACTGGTATACATTGGGAAGAGACTATTATTCCCTGCAGTAGTTGTATTATTGGAAGGTCATCTCATACTGCTTCTGGTACAGCTCAGTGCATCTCCTGCAGAGTATCAAGGACATGGTGAATGCCAGTGTGCTGTTAGATTTGCACATGAGTCCCTAGTGCCTGGAGGTTCTGTATGCTGGACAGGATTTTCTTCTGATGGCCAGCTAGGTTGATGCCAATTTTGCTGAGTTCACTGAAAGAAGATGAGATGGTAAAAGTTAGTTAGTATGCAGAAATCAAGCAAGAGGATTGAGAGGATCATTCTTTTCATAGACAAATTTCACTATATTCTACCATAAAGAATGAAAAAAGAGTACCTTCAACCACCCAACGCACAATAGAAAGGAAGTGAAGGGGTGTCTGTAGGCTATGCATTGCTTCACAGAGGAACATTGGAACATTGCTTGAGAGATACAGGTGAAACTCGAATAATTAGAATATCGTGCAAAAGTAATTGCAGTAAGTGCTGCAAAAGGGGACCAAACCAAGTACTGAGTACATATGCATGCTTGTACTTTTCAGAGGTCCGATATTGTTCTATGTACAATACTTGTTTTATTGATTGCATGTAATAATCTACTTTTTTGAGGTTGTGGATTTGGGGTTCTTGGGGTTTTCATGAGCTGTAAGCCATAATCATCACAATGATGACAAATCACGGCTTGAACTATCTTGCTTTGCATGTAATGAGTCTATCTCATATATTAGTTTCACCTTTTAAGTTGCATTAGTGAAATAAATTAACTTTGCACGATATTCTAATTATTCGAGTTTCACCTGTATATTTTTGTCACCATGAAAGGATGAAGGTAGGTACGGGAGAGGGGGGGGGCATTCTATTATGGTTATATGTAGTGTGCGTCAGTACCATCGAGTTCTAATTTTATATGTCTGCCTTTGTGGGATTAATAATACATTTTTTAACTTTTGAAATATAATGTACGTGGTCGTTCTTATATATTACTTTATATCCCTGATGCAGTATGTGAATATTATGTAACTATACAATGTAAGTATGTGGAGTAGTTGAGTCCTAAAATATTTTTTGGGGTACATAAGGAATCATAGATTTCTATCTCATGGACTCCATCCTATTTTGATCGATTGGGCAAAGGGCTTAGAGTCAAATTTTTTAATATTGGTTGCTAGGCTATGCATTTGGACAAAAGCTTGTGGACATCGGACCATCACATCTATATGAGCTTGTTGGACATCCAATTCCAAAATCTTGGGCATGATATAGAGTTACCCCACCCCTTTTGCAGGTATTACAGCCCTAACTCTCTTGGGAAGCCTGTTCACCATTTGGAGCATGTCTGTAGGAAATTTGTATCCATCTAGCCCAAAGAGTATTTGTATAATCAGCTTCTGTTGCGGTACAAGAAGATCTGGCTCACGATCTGTGTTTAAATTCATCTCATTGTTGTTAAATTAGGATGAGGTCTGGGCTCTGTACAGACCACTAATGTTCCCCCACACCAAAAATTTGTCAAACAAAATCATTATTATTGTTCACAGAGCACAGTCATGCTGGAACAGAAAATGGCTAAGGGCTAAGGCAGCCAAGTGAATAACCGAGCCGAAGTGAATGCCCTAAAATCAGCCGTACACCGGCTGCCTTCAGTCAGCCGAACATGTTCTGCATGTTCGGCTGAACCGAAGTGCAGAAGGAGTTCGACTCAGCCGATCCAACATCTGGATCGGCTCAGCCAAAGCTCTGGCAGCTCACTCGGTGCCGTTCACCAATATTCTCATAGAGGCCGAACAGCCACGAGCGAATAGCGGCATTCGGCTGGGCTATTCTGCTTGCAACCTCCATTTTTACTAAGGGCAGATTAATCCATCTCCCTTTACTTCCTGAAACTCTAGCACATGTGACTAGGACATGTGACCATGCACATCATGTCAGGGGAGGAAAATGCCCTTTTCCTCCCCTGAGATCGTTTACAGATGAGATTTCCCAGCAATGCTCTGCTGATGTAATCTTTCCAGGGTACAATTCTTGAGCACAGATTACATCACTTTTGTCAAAGAGAACCAGGAAGTAGAAATCAAGAAATTGTAAGTAAAATGAAAATGTGTTTGTTTAACTAATGAATGTAAGATGATTTCATATCAGCACGCAGAGCTGCATGCTGATGTGGTTAAATGTCTTTGTATGCTGTGGCACTAACAGTACCCTTCACCGGAAACACCTGAACAACTGCTGTGTAGTTGGGATATGCACTGCAGAACTCAAACTGATAGGCATGCTGTCTATGATTTATTCATAAAACAAGAATTTATACCATACCATTTTTGATTGGCTATTTTAGCTGGCTTTCAGCAAGGCTTGGTAAACACAATACAAAAACAGGGTAGCGATGGCAACTGTTTCATGTAAGAGATTTGCAGAAGAAAGTTGGCACAACTGATAATGTACAGCTTAGCAGGAAACATTTGTTTGGTGACATGTAACAGATATAGGAATCCATGCTGTGTCTATATATATATTAGTGACAAAGAAACACATTTTTCAAGTTTAAAGATGTCTTGGAAAATACAGATGCTGTAATAATTTCATTTAGGCAAATGGTATTAAATATATGGTATTTTGTATGCATTTATCCCCATAATACAGTGGCAATACATGAGATTTTGGCTCCTACCTGTTGCTTAGATACAGCACTGAGTCTAGGGTGACATATCCTGACATTGTAAAGTGCTCTATATATTGGCTCATCTTGATGGCCTCCAACCACTCCTCCACACTAGTAACTGTAAATGAGTCTTGCATGCTTGGGTCCTGCCTGCAAAGAAGCCAACTTTAGTAAGTTAACTGAATAGATTTTAGCTGCTAAATATTAAGAAATACATAAATAAACTTCATACATCTAACACTTCATCAACACATAATCCTCCAATGGCTCTATTGATGTTATTGCAACATGTCAAAGACTATCGCCAGGAGAAAAACCTCTCCTTGTAATGGTTCTACCCCTGTGCTGCAAGGGTTAACTGCTCATTAATGTCTAGAGCCTGTGTGTAAAGGATGCTTACTTACCTGATCCCCACTCCTACTGGCTCCAAGATTGGCTCCCATAGCCTCTTCCTCCCTACACTCTGGCAGTCAGAAGCCCACTGGCATCATCACATGCAATACATGGCCCATAGCATTATATGCGAAGTCGCCAAAGGAACAGTTTACATGCCGGAGTGTAAGGGAGACAGGGTGAGCGCTGTCTGCTGGGGGATTGGGGTCAGATAAGTAAAAGTCCTTTACACAGGTCCCCTAGACATTAACATGTATTGTTTGCTTAGTTGTGCACAACTAACCTTAAAGGCTAGATGCACCTTTCTGACCATGTTTCATGTTACACCCATATTTAGGATATTGATCGCAGACTCCTCACTCCACTCCCACCCCCCACTTACCTAAACCACAGGGTTCTTCCCCACGTATGCTTGTTTTCCCATTTTGAAAATGGCACAGCTGCGTGTGGCTTCACCCACACAGCCATGTCATCCATTCACAAATCCTTTGACAGGATCTGTGAATGTAGAAACTACAAGTCTCGTCTGCCTCTGTGGCAGAGGTACTTGTAGTATAAATGGAATACAAGTGTGGTGATGTTACCACACTTGTAGTCCAATCATTCTTCCTCCTAGGTACAAACATGCAGTAGCATGGACTGGAGGAACAGTCTGCAGGAGGCAGAGCAGTGCACTCATGATCTACTGATCATGGTTGCAAGACTTTACTTGTTCCAATGCAAAAAAATAAGAAATGCAAATTTTTTTCTTTTATGAAGAAGTGTGCCTTCATTATGTTTTTGCAAAAGGTGAAATGTCCTTTAAAAACTTGATACACAAAATCAAAGTTTCTTCTCAAAGATCCTATTCTTGCATTTTGTATATAATCCTCTGCAGTATAAACTTGGACAACAGTGGACAGTAACAGTGTAATGAACAGTACTTAAATCTTACCATGTAGAGCTGTTGGCTAGCTCGCTCAGGGTGCTGGGGTTGCGTATAAATTTGTCCAAAATGTTTACAATTTGGCCAAACTTAGGCCGGTCGCTTCTACACTTCTGCCAGCAGTCCAGCATAAGCTGATGAAGCACTACAGGACAGTCCATAGGAGGGGGCAGGCGGTACCCTTCATCTATTGCTTTAATTACCTAGAAGGAAATACCAAATATATTATTGTACAGCCAGGCTCATTCATTTCTCTATACAGAAGGCTTCAATAAAGGGGATTATGCTCTTTCATGTTCATTTCCATGAAAAGATGCAAACCTTTGAAGTGATTAGTCATTGTGCTGATGAATATATGCCTTTTTCTATACTGATTACAGATATTCACTGCATTTATAATATGAATAGGGAATCACTCAACATCAAACATAAATATCCAAGTTGCTCATTCTTTTATATAAAATAAATGCTGACAAATAATGGTATCTAATATCCCAAATTATCCCTTCCAAATTAATAATAAGTCTAATAAATACTTTATTGCACAATATGTCATAATAATGGGTTGTTTTATATGTGCTAATTAATTATTTGATATTCCTTACTGTGTTAATAATATTACAGTGTTAGCAATTAGGTGATGTTACAGATCTGGTCATCAGTGGTAGAATCGGAAGACTGACATCACCCTTTCTCTAAATTTATTTATGCAGATTCAGCTGTCCATAACTCAACTGTCATTTTTCTTTTAAAGTGACACTAAACTCAGGAATTATATATTGAAAATGCATTCAAGGAACTTAACAATTAACTAAAATGTATCTTATTTGTGAATCACTCAGCTGTAGATCCTCAAATCATCTCTGAATTGGTGCTGACACTGTCCTTCCTTCTGAGGGATGGCTAACTTTGTTCTCCATGGTCCCTGTGTGTTGTAAAGTAGCCACCGATCCAAGCTCACTCCTGTGATGGATTACAATCTCACATTTAGTTTACTAATTTGTATTGAGACTGAAGTCCATCACAAAAGCGAGGTTGGGGCAGTGGCTACTTTACAACACACACAGGGACCATGTGGAACAAAAGTAGCCCCCCTCCAGAAGGAAGGACAGTGTCAGCACCAATTCAGAGATGATTTGAGGATCTACAGCCGAGTGATACACAAATAAGATACATTGTTGTTAATAGTTAAAAGAGAACTATGGGGTAACCTTTTTATCCCATAGTTCTCTTAAGGGTCACAGGAGGACATATACTAATGTCCTCCCATTACCCAAAGCTGAGTATATAGCGAGCTACATACTGAGAGCGCCGCAGCTGGGGCGGATCCCGATAATGCTATCGACATCCATCCAGCTGCGTGAGTGACAGTGGGCTCTGCTCTCTGCAGGGAGATGATCTTAAGGTGAGCGAGCGACGGTATGCGTTCGCTCACTTCCCTATCTATAGAACTGACCTGTGACAGTTTCATTGTCACACGTCAGCTCAAACTATGAGGTTGAGTGAAAATCACTCACCTCATAGTTCTACTTTAAGGTACTTGAATGCAGCAAGCATACTTACGTTTATGATCATTAGCAAAGCAAAGGTTCACTTTAAAGCCTATTTTCAAAGTTTCTTAAATAATATTAAAAGGGATAGCAGGGGCTTAGTAGATAGAGATTGGCTGTTAGCCTAGTATGGTTTAAGAGAACATAGTTGACTGGGAGTCCTGTGGCACTTAACCCCCATCAGTCCAACATCTTAATTTTATATTCTAGAAATATATTTTAAAAATCACAAGTCGACTCGTAGGCACTTTCCAATGCAATTTTATACTGTAAAGGTCATCTAGATTGTCTTCCACTGTCAGAATTCATAGCTGTAGTGTGATTGGCAATGTAATTACACATTCCTACATGTAGCAGTTTTGCTGTGGTTTCTGTTGGCTGCAGTAATAGTCTTATACTAGAGTGTTTTTTGCCTTATTGAAGCTGCACATGAAAACTGTAGGCCTTTTTTGATCCACAGTTTTTAGACATGAACATGTGAATAAACCCAAAAGCAGTTATGCTGTATATTTCAAATAAGGGAACAAAAGAGCATGCCTGGCGATGGTATTTGACTTAAACATTTTGCAAATATAAACAATATATGCAATATAGCAAAACAAGCTTTCATTTACTTCCTTTATTTTGCCTAAATTGCCTTTTTAGATCCCCTTGGCAACAAGGAACATTTGCAAAGCGTGTAGGCTACTTTATTACATAACTCACATCTTGGTTGGACATCTCCCAGTAAGGTCTTTCTCCATACGATATCACTTCCCACATTACAATACCATAACTCCATACATCACTCGCTGATGTAAATTTTCTGTAGGCAATGGCTTCTGGGGCTGTCCATCGGATGGGGATTTTACCTCCCTAATGGAAAAGAACATTAACCATCAATACAATACAAATGCATAAAAACCACAGAACCAAATAATACCTCCTACTTGTTACTACAATTATTATTTTTTAATTTTCAGTATATTCCCCAAGGTAATGCAATCAGGGAACTGGATACAGAATACCACAGCTAGTGCACCTGAACATAATTAGAATTGCAAATGTAGGGAGGATTATTAAGCATAGGGAAAATTGTAAAATAATAACGCTAATCTAATTTTAAAAAGTTTAAAAAAGTGCTGTTTAACCACTTGAGTACCAGACTGTATACTGTATATCCCATCATTGCCAGGCCATTATTCCGTTTTCAGTGCAGTGGTAGTTTTATTGATAATTACTCATCCAATCAGTGCCAAAACCAATTTAAATAATTTTTGTGGGACATGTACAGCTTTCTTTTCATGGATTTAATAATTTTAATTGTTTTATTTTTTACTGAATAAAGGAAAAAAAGACCCAATATTATGAAAAAAAATCACTTACATTCTGTTATGAAACATATCAAATAAAAATGTCAGGATAGTACAAACACCCCTTACATTGTCTGAGGTGATCTCATTTTTAATTTTCATTGCCACAATTTTTTGGAAATGAAGAAACACGCTGGTTTTCAGGGGGTAAAGCTTGGTAATGGCGCGCTAGATACAGTGGGGGTTACTGTATTCACAAAAGGGTGAAGAGTTTGGAGAAGATAGTAGAAGTGAACAGTCTAGGACAATATAGCTGAACTGGAAAGTGATCTGAATTGGAGAATTTTTCCAAATCAGCTATTGTGTCCTAGATTGTTTACTTCTCCTGCCTTCTCCAAACTCTTCACCCTTTTGTGAATAACCCCCTATGCATCATGAATGTACAGGTCATACACAGAGGGAGGGGGTGAAGGGGTTAATTTATAGGCCACATTGAATGGGAGGATGGAGATGAGTGGGTTACTGAACAGTATAATAGAAGTGAAAGTGTACAGGCCCTACAAAGACAGAATGGAGATGGGATATACAGGATAAGTGATACCACAATAACATTTATTAACCCCCCAACCACCACCTTTAATCTGCTGCTGTCTACCTCCCCAGGATCCCTTCATTCATGAAATTATCCTTTCTCCTATTCCTGCTTGTGAGAGGAAGGGAAAGGTTCATACAAGTAGAGAGTAGTAGTGTTTACAGTTGTAATGGTTTTCATTGCCCATTACGTCGATCACAAGCCACATCAGTGTAATTGTGGGCGAGTCTAGCACTTGCACAAGTAGTACACAGAGGACCGTTTTATAATGGTGCTCTAGAAATAAACATCTACCACGCCACTATTTAAGAACGGCAGTACTGAAGTGGTTAAGTAATTGAATATACCCAATTCCACATTTTGTTCTGCAATGGTAGAACAGCCAGTATGAATTCCAAGCCTAACACCTTCAAAAAAATTACACAGAGCAGAACAGGGAAACCTGATCTGAATCATGGATGCTGCTTCAGCTACGTTATGGAATGCTAAAAGGGAGTGATGGTCACACAGAGGAAAAAAATATATACAGTAATGTCTATGTGGATGACAGCTAGTAGCATGAGGAAACCAAACAATATAATCTGTATTCCGGAAAATGTTTTTATCCCATGTGGCTTTTACATGTAAATACTACTACAATAAGTTTTATTAGACATAGTAGTGATAATACACACCGAGGGTCAATGCATATGTACAATATGAATAAGGGGCATATAGGGAAGCAAGGGTATAATTTTAGCCCAGGGAAGAAATGTGACTACCATGGAGCACAGCACACACTGCTCTAAAAACAAAATTACTTATTTAGGCAGTGAGAGCGCGTGGGAAACACATTAGGTAAATTAATGAATGTATCATGTAGATACCTTTTTGGAATTAAATTTATGAATTATGCAACTCTCTGAGGCGGGAGCTAAATTGCCTTTGCTATGGGATCCAATTATTTACAATCATATATCTGCAGTAAAGAAAGGAACTGTGAATCAAATAGTAAATTATAGAGAAGTGAAAGCAACAGGTTAACCCTTAGGAAAAAGTTAAGTGGCCGCATGAAGCTCAGTGGCTAGCTTCTTTGAAGTTCTGGTCTTCCAGAGTGGATACCAACCAGTTTTATCTATCACAGTCCAGACACATATCAAGGTTTACTGGCTTCCGCCAACATTTTGCCCTGGTCTTTGGATATGTTTGTGCAACTGTAGTAGACCCAATCAAAATCTCCCAGAACAGGGACAAAGTAGCATAGATCTATCTTTTATGAAATGTGCTTTGTGATATATTGATGCTATATTTAAAGGGAAAAGAAGAACAATGGAACAGTATAACTTAAGGATAATCTGGAGACAATTTTAGAATGTACTAATTATGTGTGAACCAATCTGATGCAATATTATCAGTAAAGGTTTTTTTTTATAACTTACCCTTGTAGTATAAGCTGCTTCAGGGTCATCCTCGAGGACTCTAGAAAGACCAAAGTCTGAGACTTTGCAAACCAAGTTGCTGTTGACTAATATGTTCCTGGCAGCCAAATCTCTGTGGACGTAGTTCATGTCTGATAAGTATTTCATCCCAGAAGCGATGCCTCTCAGCATTCCTACTAACTGTATCACTGTGAACTGGCCATCGTGTTTCTAGAAGATAGAAAATGTACACTATTGTCAGTCAAAGATGATACATAGTAACCAACATGCACCATAGGTACTCAACTTTACAACTTTGAAGATTTCAGGAGCAAATGTAGTATTTGTTTGTGGTCTGTAAACCAACTAACCAACCTTCTTTACATTTCCCCCCTTCTAGTATTGTATGACTTGACACATACATGACAGTTTTAAAGGAATTAATTAAAGGCAATTTTAAAAATTTTAAGACATTCACCATTTGAGAAAAGTGTAGAATCGTCTTTGCAAATGAAGAAAAAGTTAAGGTTACATGTTTTGAGAAATTGCAGATATTATTGTGGAAAATTTGGATGCTGGAATAAGAATAAGTTAGTTTATTGGTACTAGGGACGGGCTTATTCTCTTACACTGGCTCTGCTTCCTAATAATAGGCTATAGGGGCAAAACATTCACAACCAATGACTGCCAGGATTTGACACTCTTACATGAGGAGTCTTTACATCACAGAAAGTCGTAATTATGTTAACGCTCTGATATCAAAACATTTCCAGCCTTAAAGTACATTTCCACTTTTGCAGCCAAATTGGGATAACACCTATGTTGCAACTCCGGGCAAATTACAAATTAAACCTGGCAGTGGGGCTACCCCCACACTGCCATGGTTTAGTGCTCGTTTTTCTAGGGTCTAAAATTAAGATTTACTCACCGGATCCTCTATCCTGCCTGGTGGTCCCCACAGCCTCTCTTCCCCTCCGATACGGTGGTGGAATGTCTCTCAGCATCCTCACGTACTTTACACTGTATTAGACGTGATGACTCATGGGTCATTAGACCACCGGAGTGGAGGGGGAGATTATTTTTTTATTTTTTTTTATTATACCCTAGGCCAAAACAAGCCTTGCAGTGCAGGGGTAGCTCCAGTGCAAGGCTTAATTTGTAATTTGCCCGTGGTTGTTCTTTAATCCTGATGTTCCCTAAGGAAAAAAAGATGTTGCAATAACTGCTTGAGTTAGGCTTTATTTGGTTGTTTTTACCTAAAAGTCTATTTAAAACTACATGTCACAAGGTGACAACACTGCTGTGTGATTTCGCTGAGGAACGAACAGCTTTGTCCCCCTGTTAAAAGAAGTTAAAGGAAGTAGAAAAATAAGGGATCTTCTGACAGGGAATACAACTATGTTAAGGTGAAAGACAAGTGAAAACCTTTGTATTAATGCTAGTGACGGACTGCACTCATATATGTGATTTGATATTTTCCTCATAGCTCAACTCAAATTAATACAGGTGGAGACAGAGGTAAGTAATACACTTTTTGGTAACTTTTTTTTAATGTTTTTGCATATATCTACTGCTTGCTACCAGTAAATATATTCAAAAAAACCCCAGCGTTTAATTCTACTTTAACATTCATGTAACCCGTGTAAAATACTTAAGATGACTTTCCTTAGGTTTATTCATAAAAGTGTTATTTTACAACAACAGTAACCATGTATGTCAGTTTAATATACACACAAGATATATTAATATTTTGCCAGTATTGTCAAAATGTGTATGCTTTCTATATTATAACCTACACTTTTAAAATAACTAAAACACAAATTCTAGCTGGTATTATATAGGATTTGCTAATGCTGGATTTAATTTGAAGGTGAAGAGTATTATCTGAATCTGAACAAGTAATCATTGGGTTACATAAATCACAGGATGAGAAATCCTGCACCAATTTACTTGCGCAGCATTAGTGCATCAAAAGCATATATTATATTGAGAATTTCTTTATTTAATATGTGAAATCTAAATCTGAAATCTAAGCAACATCATTAAATGTTGGTGTTTTGGATGGCACAAGATGTTCTCCGCAGACCCTGACACTCTTGTCACTTTTTCTGCCTCTGACTGAGACATTATTACCATCAGGCTCTGCGCATAGTACATTGATGGCATCATGAAAATATACAATGCATGAACTCTGAGCATAAAAGGATCTGCAGAGACCTGGCTCTGGGGGGAGAGCGAAGCTACGCACTTGTGTTTATCCAGGCGAACAGAGCATGAAGCCACAAAGTCAAGCTTAGTAACAAAGCAAAATGAGAATGGCCCAAAGTAATATAGGGAATGAAGCAGTGAAAATGGATGCACTACATTGGGGAATAGACCCAATGTGCAGAAAAATAACCAACCAAGTAGGAGGCGTGAGTGATACAATCTATTTTTATAAAGAACGGCACTAAGAAACTGATTATCTTATACCCTCAACAGTTTATCCAGCTCTGCTTTGTTGTATCATAAAATATTAAATACAGAAGGTATTACGCGGAACCAAAAGCTGCTGTTATAAGTACATGTCCCTAACACATATGCTCAAAACAGAACCACATAAGATCAAAGCCAGTTAACCTATCAGTATTTTTTGATGGTAACACAAAAACTCAATCATGGCGGCTAAGTGACTAGCAATCTTTTCTTGCAGCGTTGGAGTCTTAGGTCTGATTCCTGCCAAAAACACTGTGCATAGAGCTTGTGCCCATATTTGAATGATGTATATACTGTGCTTTCTATATATATGTATACAGAATGTTGTACTAGCTATCACGGGTTTAGCAATGAATAGAAAACAATTGTGAATTCCTCCCATGTTTCTAGGTTTTCCTTTCACAGCAGAAAATACAGAAAGGGTTGATTTAGATGGATATATCCTTCAGTATTTTGTGGACAGGCTTCACTGTGCACCTCAATGTGGTAATCAACTCTCAGGCTCAGCTGGCAGAACACCTCATACATGCAATATGCAATAAGTGCATGTAAAGGTTACATATTGGTGAGGATTTATACATTTTGGAGTAACGTTTTATACTTTGACAAACATTGGTTGGTTTTTAGTTTCTTATTTGATTATATATGCACAATTCATCTTAACCTTTTCAATGCAGAGTATCTCACTCTGGGAGCAGATGGAACCTTACACTGCAGGCAAACATTTGAGGTATGCAGTTCTCACAAGGATTGCATAGGTTATCTGTTGGAAAATAATCCTGCAGTCTTTGTTGAACATGTGCAGCCAATTCACAATGAGAAGCATGAGGAGGAACATCCCTCTCTGCCTTGGGTCACAGACTCATCAGCATAACGGGACATTAGTGCCTCTCCTTTGGTAGAGGAGGTTTATTGCATAAGGTGCAGGTTGTTTGGGACTTTGGCACAAGTATTGTGTACCACAAGCAAAACACACCTTGACCCTAGAAAATTTTCAGTTGAACCATTAAAGGGATTGAGCCTGATGAATTCTCTGTGAGACTAGTCATGGTCAGGACAAGTAGGGTAGCAAGGTGCCTAACAATTAGAAAGGTGGTCCAAGATAGCTTTATTTGTGGGTCAAAATCCCTATTAAGTTGTCAAAGAAAAGACTAAAGACTAGTTTGCAGTTTCAGTTCGCAGCTAAATAAACTAGCTTAACCCAGTCTGCATTTTATCAAATTTTTCCAAAGCATATTTTTGATGGGAAATGATTACTATTGCTTTGTAATTGAGTCTAACAGTCTCCAACATCTTCCTAAATGGAGCATCAAAAATGGTCCTTACTAGGTGCTCCAACAGATTGGCAGGATCCCTTGGTGGGGCAGTCATTGCATAGTGACTGCAAACAGCTTTTCACACTCTTCAGATGAGTACACTTTTCAGGCTTAAAGAGGAACCTTACCCATATCTTTAAAATAACAACAGATATACCTTTAGAAATGTTTAGTAATGACAATCTACAAACATACTTCCAGTTAATTTTTTGGCTTTGTAATTTTTGCACACCTTGTTTCTCTTTGTGGCCATGTTAACTAAGGGCAGATTACTAGCTCTCCATTTCCTTCCTGGAACTCTGTCACATGTTACTAGGACATGTGACCGTGCACACCATCTCAGGGGAGGAAAATGGCTTTCCCCGAGATCTGAGATTACAGATGACATTTCCCAGGAATGCTCCGCTGATCTAACCTTCCCAGGATACAATGCTTGGGCACATATGTAATGTGTGCCAGGACTGGAGCAGGAAGTTATAAACTCTATTTGTAAGTAAATGAAAAACAAATTAGTTTAACTAATGAATGTAAGAGAACTTTAAATCAGCATGCAGAGCTGCATGTTGCTGTGATTTTTAGCAAAAGGGGGTAAAGTTCCACTTTAATCCTCTCATAGTGCATTTTGGGTGACTCTTGATAAGCAGAACAAGTTTCCCATACCTATTGAACAGGAGCTATGCTCAACCTCTTCAAAGAAAGGCAGCATCTTTGCTTCGACTGGGGATCATGGTCTATGTTACCAAACACCTACCAAATCTATTTAGCAGAAGTTTCAGCTCTTCTTCCAAGATCGTATGCCCCACCCAGACAGAGCATTACACATATGTGGATCAAGGCAGATAATCATGGTCCTGTTGCCTCTCTGTGTGTGGTGGTATGTAAGGTACTTTGGCAGTGAATGAATGAATGAATAAATTAAATCTTGAAGTGTATGTATTCCTCACTTTCTGTTTTATATATCTTTATATATATATTATAAAGAAAGGACATGGAAACATGAAACAACCACTGTAAAATTACTTCCCTGGCAAACATTACAGATGCCACATTGATGATTTAATGCAAGAAGTGATAATCTACCATGACTGGGCGCTCGGCAGGAAAGAAGAATGAGGATGTGAGAGACTGAGGTCAGCAAGACACAATTTATTTACGCTGGCTTCTTTCAATGTCTTGTAAAAGCACAGAAAAATAAAGTGTTGTATTCAACCATAAATAAATGTACTCTCCTCACATAGATACAATTGTGAAGTATAGCTTTTTCTTCTTCAGAATGAAGGGATTTACATATCACTATCATATTAGCTCAAGATATGAATTATTTTGCTTGAGTTGTGCCTAGCCTCAGTGTATATACAGTCAAAAATATTGGCACTCCTGCATTTCTGTGAGATAATGCACCACTTCGTGAAGAAAAATGTTGCAGTTACAAATGTTTAG